CTCGTCCTCGTCCTTGTCCTCGTCGTCCTCATCGTCCTCGTCCTCGTCCCTCAGAAATTCTCCCGCCCCCCCCCAGACCTGTCCTGGAGCGCATGTTGGTGTGGATTCAAGGTGGGCCCACGCGTGGCGACGATTGCGCCCCAGGATGCCCCCAAGATGCCCACAGCGTTGAACTCCTGTGGTCGTCGTCGTCGTCGTCGTCGTCGTCGTCGTCATCGCTGTTGTTTTCGTCGTTGTCGTCGTCGTCGTCGAGACCGTCGTCGAGAAAGCGTCCGAAACGAAGATGACGTCATCAGATTTCGACATCGCGAACAACCACGACTGGAACCCTGGACCCCATCCTGCTGCGGCTTTTTTCTAGCCGGGTCGATCTGTGAGTGTCCCGGGACCCGAAACATGTCGTCGCTGCTGCCTCCGCCGCCGCCGCCGCCGCCGCCGCCGCCGCCGCCGCCGCCGTCGTCGTCGTCGTCGTCGTCGTCGTCGTCGTCGTCGTCGTCGTCGTCGTCGTCGTCGTCGTCGTCGTCGTCGCCGTCATCGTCTTTGCCGTCGTCGTCCTCGCCCTCGTCCCCGTCCCCGTCGTCGTCCTCTTCCTCCTCGCTTCTGCCCGGGAACCTTGGGGGGAGGCCCAGTGCACTGGAGACACCTCGAGGAGCTGATGGGCGAAGGGGAGGCAGAGATGGAGCGCGCAGTGCAAGAAAGCGCTCATGTGCGCAGCTGGCGGATCGATCTGGACGTGCGCGCGGTGTGCGACGCAGGGGTGGCTGCCACGGACAACCGCAGGCGCTGCAGGAGGATGGGAGGAACGCCTTGGCAGTGGAACTTTGATCGATGCGGCGCAGGCCTGAAACTGAGGAGGGGCCTGTGCCCGCCAGCAGTATCCAGGCGGCCAAGGAGGCACGAAAGCAAGGAGAGGAGGCAGCGGAATGGTTCGTCAGAGGATTGTTTCCTGACTTGACGCAAGCGTGGATTGAGCCACACGATCGGGGCGACAAGGAGGAGGTGGCCTGGATCGAGACCGCCGCTGGGTTTTTTCCGTGGCAGGGTTTTTGCGGGCGGTTTGGCCTCGGACCCAGAGGCGGCGGAGGAGGTGCTGAGGGGAGCGGGGTGTGCGAGTGTTCAATGCAGCGAAGGAGGACAGGTGCTAAGAGCAGTGTGCGGCACCGTGCCGTTAACACGCGCCCCGGTGCAGCTTGCAAGGGATGGCGAGGACCACGCCTTCCATCTCCTGGCGGGATATGCGCAGGCGCCGCTGCAGGTCTTCACCGACTGCGTGGGGTCCATTCGCCAAGCGACGAACGTGGGCAAGGCGCTGGCCAAAAGAGCGAGGATGAGGCTTCTGTGGTGGCGGCGGTGGCAGGAGCTCGGAGGACATCAGAAAGTTCACGTCGCCAAGGTGGAAGCGCACAGGTCCAAGGCGGAGATCATTACCGAGACGGAGACGTGGACGTGCGAGGGCAACGAGGAGGCGGGCAGGCACGCCGAGAAAGGGGCCAGCGCGTGGAAGGCCAAGTCGAAGAGGCGTCTGGCGGCGGCAGAGGCACACTACTTGGATAATGCAGTGGCGAGGTTGGTGGCGCAGCTGGCGGTCTGGTGGCAGGGCCAGGAGCAGGATGCGGACTGGATCCAGAGCGACACGATGATCGAGGTGGGCGCTATACCCGATGAGCTGCACCAGACCGCGATACGGCAGGGGGTGATGAGGAGGAGCCTGGCGGCGAGACCACAGAGGAGGAGGATGTCGAGGACCTGGTGGGCTGGATGGGCCACCGCATCTGCGATCGCCGGGTGGCTGGATCAGAGGAGCGAGGCCTGGCGTGCAGGAGGTGCGAGACCAAATGCATGGGAGGTCGGGCGGTGACGCAGGGGGCCACGACAGGGCTGGCTGGTGTTCCCGCCGCGCCGAAGAGCGAGGGCGACGCGAGAACAGCGAAGGAGGCTTCTGCTGTGGAGGCGCCCCAGGCCCGATCGGGGCGCGACGAGATGCGATTTCCTGAGTGTGGCCAACGGTGGCCTAATGGCGGAGCTGACCCTGGCAGGAGGAGTGGGAAGCTGCGGGGGCGCCAGAGAGGCGGAGGAGTCACCGTGGAGGCCAAGTGGTGCGCGGCAGGAGGGTGCCTTTCAAGCGCCTGGTGGACGTCTGCGAGGCCTGCGACACCAGCGAGTGGGGACTACTAGAGCTGGGGGCTGTTGCCAAGAAGGAGGAGGCAGATGAGGTGGCGGCGCGAACCGAGGAGTCTGGTCGGCCGCGAGGTGAGGAGAGGGCGGCCCGATGGGGGCGGCAGCGGGCAAGCTGGGGCCCAGCGCGCGAATGCCCCGAAAGTAGCTTTATTAGAGCTGCAGGAAAAATTTGGGGAGGAGATGGCCACGAGGCAAGAAAAATCTGGAGGGGGGCAACTCGTTCCGACCTGCGCCGCGCTGCCTGCCTAGACGTGGGTCCACGGCTGCAGTTGGGAAGCGCCCGTGGCTCGGAGGCCTGTCCGGCCCCCAGTCTCGCCGTCGCACTGGGCGCGCCCTCGGCGGTTTCAGCGCCGCCGGGAGGGCCGACTCCATCGCGCGCGCGCGGTCGCATGCGGCCGAGGCCGGCAATTGCCCGCCCTCCGCCTCAAGCGAAGCCCCCCAGCCTCGAGGGGCAGCGCGTTGGCGGCTTCCGCGCCGTCGCCAGCTGCTCCGGGGCGGCGCGCGACTCGGTCCAGCGCCGCGCCGCCCGCGCTGCCGCGCCCGCCCCCAGGGTTGATGCCGCCGAGCCGTGGTGCGCGCCCGAGCCCAGGCCCGCCGCCATCGGCTCGGGGCTTGGGGGGTCATCGACGGGGCTCGCCGGAGGAGGGGCCGCCTCTTCGCGCAGAACCTCCTCCGCGAGCTCGCCGGAGCTTGCCCGGGGGCGGGGGGGGCCCACGTCGCCTGGGATCTGCGCCTTGATCTCGGAGCTCCCGCTTGGGGCCGCGCGGGGACTTGCCGGGGGCGAGAACCCATCGACTCTTCCAAGATCTTTGCCTCGAGCTCAGCCGGCCCCGCCGCCGCGCCCGGCCTCGCGTCGTTTCGAGCGCCCCCGTCGAGGCCAAACTCTGCGCGCCGCTCGATAACAAGGATCACGGTCGGCAAATGGCTTCGAACTCCACGCCCCGTCTTCGCCCCTGCGGCTGGCGCTGGCAAGGCGAAGGCCGGGTCGCCGGGCTCGAGCTCAGGTTTTATGCTTCCGTTTGGAGGCCACCTCCCGTCGTTGTCTCGGGCCGCAGAGGGCCCGGCGCGACCGCGGCTGACAATCGCTGCGCGGCGGGCGGCGCGGGGGCGCGCTCCGCCATTGCGGGCCGTCCGAGGCGCGGAGGTGGCCTTGGGGCATCTCGCCCTGGGCGCGCGCTGTCTTGCTGAAGCTTCGGCCCTCGACGATTCCGCGAGCGCGCTGTCGGCCGGGCGGCCGTGGCGCGTTGAGTCGCCGCGCGTTCCGCGACTGTGTCGCCCGTCAGGCCGAGGCGGCGCGGCGCCCCGATTCCGCGGCGCCGCGGCCCCGAAATCGCCCCGGAATCTTGCGCGCGGGAAGAGCTCGCGGGCGTGCCGGGAGAGGCGCGCCGCGCAAGGGGGGTGAGCCGCGGGGCCTCGCGCGAGGCGAGATCATAGAGCTAGCGGACCCCGTCAGTGCCAGGTTTGGCACGGAGTTTTCGACGAGTTGTGTTGCAGAAGAGATGACATATAAGTTGGGCAATTTTGGAAAATGCCGAGGAATGGTTTGTTAATTGAAAGTTGTTTTGGAACGCGTTGAAAACTGCGTTGGGGGATGTTGAGAAAAGTGGGAACGCGTTCTTAGCAGGAAATGTCGGCGCAGCGCCGCGGGCGATTTCTCCGCGCCCGCCCCGCGGGCCGCTGCAGGGGCGGGGGGCCCCCGTGATATTCGAGAGTTTCCGCTGGGCCCCCGCGTCTGCGCTCGCCCAGCGCGGTTTCGCTTCTGGCCGAAACCTGCTGGGAACAGAACGCCGTGGCGTTCGTCATGGCGCAGTTTTCGGCTTTTCCCCCAAAAGGCGCATCGGCCGCGGTCGGGGACGTGCATTTTCCCAAACTGCTCAATGGCTGACCTCCCCGACAGAGCTCTCGCAACGTGCGGGCCGCCACCTTGGCACCGCGCGAGGCCCTCGCAATGCCTCGTCTTCCTGCTCAGGTGGCCATGGTCTAGAATAGCGCAGTACGCGATTGTGGGAGGCCTGGTTGAACCATGATTCGCGCAACGTTGGCCGATGCTCCAGGGTGCCTGTTCCTCGCGTGCCCTGAAATGCCTCGGGGGGGCGCGTATCAAACTCCACGCACCCAGGCTTTGCTGGGTTCCCATCAGCTACTCGTGCCAGAGCCGCCTCGGTGCTGCCTTTCCTGCCGGCAACCGCCAAGGTGGAGTGGAACGGCCATGATGGGGCGGGCCGGAGGCTTGGGCCGTGCACGGCTGGCCGTGGCCCCAGCGGCGAGTCTGCTTCTGGCCAGTGGCATTCCATTCCCCCCTGTCCGGGAGACTGGGTGACTAGGCCAGGACGGAGAGCAGCGCCGACCTGTACGAGAGGCCTTGCCCGCTCTCCGCAGAGCGTGAGGAGGGGCCAGGAGAAGGGAAGGCCATCCTGCGAGGAGGTAGGCGCGGGCGGCCTCATGTTAGGCAGGAGCGCGAGTGCCTGTCTTGGGGTGGGGTCGCCCAGAGGAACCGAGGGCGGCCCCCATGTCAGGCAAGGGCGCAAGTGCCTCTCCTGGGGTGGAGGTTGCCCTGCCTGGGAGTTTCGCGCGCACGGATGCGCGCGGGGCTCCCGCGGGGGCGTCGGGGTCGATTCGACAGCGTGGTGCCGTCTGAAATCGTCTCAAAACATCCTCCTCCTCCTCCTCCTCCTCCTCCTCCTCCTCCTCCTCCTCCTCTTCCTCCTCCTCCTCCCCCTCTCCTTCCTCCTTGCCCTCGCCCTCGTCCTCTCCGTCGCCGTTGTCGTGGGCTTCTCCCGGCCGCCCCCGTGGTTACCCTGGCGCGCGCGGCCTTGCCGCAGGCCAGGCTCGCCTCCGGCTCGGCGGAGGCGCTCCGCAGGGGCGTGTGGGGGCGGCGGCGGCGGCGGCTGCCCGCGCGAGTGCCCGCACGACGGCCCCAAGGGCTTGCCGAATTTTCGCTAATCGAAGTGTGGGTGCCAAGCAGGACATATGAGGGCAGATGCAGGCACATCGAATTACATCCAGGCAACACAAGTAATTCCTAAGATATCCAAGGAGCTCCATGGACATGTGGGGCACATCGTTGCCGCCCCAGCGCGGGTCGAAGGACGGCAACAGTTTGCCTTTTTCACGAACGACGTCCTTAAGCTCGGCCAGGAAACGCTCTGCCAACCTGAAATCGGCCAGGCTGAGCTTGGCCGAGCCGGGGCCCAGGCCGTGTTCAGACTGGCCGAGTTCGGCCTGCCGGGTTCCGCCTGGCTGGCTTTCGCCTGGCGCCGTAGGAGCTGAGCTCTCAGACCGTCCCGCGTCATGAACAAACTGCGGCGGAATATGTGTCGGTATGTTCGGTCTCTGGTGGGTCGGGGGCGGCGACTGCGGTACTCGCGCGAGTGCCCACACGAAGGAATGAGCTCCCAGACCGCCTCCCGTCATGGAATCAACATGGTGGAAGGTTTTTCGAAATTCTTTACGCTTCGCGTATCCCCACCAGCCCATCTCACAACAGCAACTCTTGCGAAGCATGCCGACAGTCGTGTTTTTCAGGCTTGTGTCCGCTTGGCCCCGCATGTCTCCCCTGTTCCTCCTTCCTCCCGCCTCCTTGTACATCCTCCTTGTTGGGGGAGCGGGAGAAGGACGAGGCGGAGCAGGAGGGAGAGAAAGCGCTCCTCGTGGTTTGAGTCGTTTGGGGTTTCTCGTCCTGGTGTGAGTCGTTCGGGCCCTTCTTCCTGGTGTGAATCGTTCGGGCTCTTCGTGATGTGAGTCGTTCGGGCTCTTCGTCCTGGTGTGAGTCGTTCGGGCTTCTCGTGGTGTGAGTTGTTCGGGCCCCTCGTCGTCGTGTGAGTCGTTCGGGCCCCTCCTCCTGGTGTGACTCGTTCGGGCTCCTCGTGGTGTGAGTCGTTCGGGGCCCTCGTCGTGGTGTGAGTCGTTTTGGGAGCCTCTTGGAGGCCTTTTGGGGCGTCTTCGGGGCCTCTTGGCGGCCCCAGGGGCTTCTAGGAGCGTCTTGGGTGCCTTGGGGGAGCCTCTTCGGGCCTCTTGGGAGCCTCTTGGAGGCCGTTTGGGGCGTCTTGGGGGCCTCTTGGCGGCTCCAGGGGCTTCCAGGAGCGTCTTGGGTGCCTCGGGGGAGCCTCTTGGGGCCTCTTGGGCGCCTCTTGGGGGCATCTTGGGGGCCTCTTGGAGGCCTCTTGGGGCCTCTTGGGACTCTCTGGGAGGGGTCTGGGAGGAATCTTGGGGCCATCTGTCGGGCGATCGATCACAGATGGGGCGAGCACTTTTCTGCCTCCCCCCGTCGGGGCCAGAATCCTCGTGAGGGGTGTCGAATTTTAGCACTTCCAGGAGTCGAAAAAGACCCCTCCAACGACCCGCGGGGCGCCCTCTCCAGGCCCAGGGGGAGGGGGTAGGGGGAGGGGTAAACCCCTCCTCGAAGGGGAAGAAGGGGGGTTGAGAACAGAGCGGGCTCTCTAAACCACTCACGCCCAAAGGGCTGGTGGGATTCTTCACGCTTCGCGTACCCCCCCAACCCTTTCAAAAACCTGCCCATGAGAGTTGACGGGGACAGAACGCGAACAAAACACATGTAGTCAAACTAAGCGGGCAACCAGGGTGAACGGAGAGATCTCTGGGAGCAAGAGGTTGGCCTTGGAGGGCCTCTTCGGGCCATCCGTGGGGCCCGCTTGGCGGCGAAGGAAATGGGAGGAAGAGGAGGAGGACGAGGAGGAGGAAGATGAGGAAGAGGAGGGGGATGAGGAGGACGAGCGTATATACCCAACACTCATGAACGATGTTGGAATAAGCCCTCTCTCCAAACTCCCTCTTTAGAGGCCCCTACAAGGGTCCATTTCCAGTGAAGGAACTGCCCCGTTGGGAGGCAACCGTGTGAAGATGTTGAAACGTGCCGAAACACATTTCTCGGGACTCCAACGCCACGAATCAACCTGATTGTTGCGTTTCGACGATCCTGAATCGTGCCAGAACGCCGTTTCTGGGGCTTCACCACCGTGAATCAATGCATCTATTGCAAAGAATGTGGTGCGCGGCGCTAAGGCAAGGGACACACTTTGAAAAGAAAGACCCGCCCGCAATCCGTAAACCTCTTGCTCTTGTTTAACACGAATGTACGTGGCGCTAAGGCGAGAGCCACATTTTTGAAACCACACGCCCTCAACCCGTGACGCTCTTCCAATTGTTCCCAACCCTCGGTGTTGGGTTCTTGTTTTGAATCGAGCACTGTGGTCTGGAAAAGGAGGAGGAGGAAGAAAAGGAGGAGGAGTCGAGGAGGATGAGGAGGGGGAGGAGGAGGAGGAGAAAAATGTCGTGGAGGAGGAGGAGGAAGAGGAGGAGGGG